ATTTTTATTTCTACCTTGCAGATGCTGGACAAGATTCTCCTGCAGGCGACGCTGACGGTGCTCGCGAGCGCCTATAGCCACCAGGTGCCCTCCCCCTTCCACCCTCTGCCTCTTGTCTATCGCTACTCCTCCTTCCAAGCGCCGCCCACTGCTTTCCACGCCTACCCTAATGCTTTCCACGCCTTCCCTAATACTTTCGAAGCTCCGCCTACTTTCGAAGCCCCGCCTACTTTCGAAGCCCCGCCTCCTTTCCACGCTTTCCCTACTTTCCAAGCCCCGCCTACTTTGCAGGCAACACCTACTTTCTTGGACACGCCCCCTTACCCCTTTCCGCTGAGAGTTCAGGGCAGCATCCGCTCTCCGTCTCACTACCAGAAGGTCTATTGTAAGTCTTCCCTTTCGAAAGCACTAATGTTTTTTTGTTGTTGTTGTTTGTTTGTTTGTTTTTTTGTGATTAAAACTATTGAGAGAACATCCATAAGAAGAAAGTTTGTTCTTTTCTTAAAAGGAAATAAAGGAGAGAAAAAAAGAGTCAGTGAACCAAAATGATATATATAAATAAATAAACTTTAGGAAATAGATTATTTTTCCACCTACTTTATCAACAACTTTGCTGAGAGAACATCCATGAAAAAAAGAAAGTTTGTTCTTTTCTTATAGATAAATAGATAAAGAAAATCAATAAACCAACTTAAAACATATCAAAGGAAATTCAGGAAGTACGATTTTTTTTTTCAAACCTTTATTACTATTAAATTTATCATTTATTACTATTATCTATTTATCAAATTACTAGCAAACCCGTGGCAGTTCCTTACGCCCGTGCCCAGGAGCGAGAGCCAGAATCTGCCGTGTCCCAGCGAGGGATTCTACGCCCATCCCTCGAACTGCTCGCTGTTTTACAGGTCGGTGTGGGCGGTACTCGGAAATCATTCTGTTTGTTTTCGTGTATTGTTGTTGTTGTTGTTGTTGATGTTATTGTTGTTATCGTCCATCTTTCGAAAAGTTGAGTGTTGGTAATACGTACGATATTTTTGTTGTTGATGTCCTTTTTTTATATAAGTTGGATCTTTGTTCTTTAATGGCTATTTTTTCCTATAATTTTTTTTTCCAATCAAATAGAAAACTGACGATTGTGTCCCCATTTCAGGTGCGTCGACTACATCGGCACCGGGGCGGCCTTCGCCAGGTACCTGTTCGCGTGCCCCTCCGGCCACCTCTTCGCCGAGGAGGCCAGCACCTGCATCCCGGGCGAGTGCGGCGGCGAAGGCTCTGAGGCTCCGGCACCAGGAGAACCGGTAACCGACGCGCCTGCCGTGGTTGAACCAGCACCGACAGAGACGGTATTACCGGGCTCTGTGGAACCGTCCACAGCAGAACCTGCCGTTCCCGATTCCGTGGAACCGTCGACAGAAGCTCCAGTAGAACCTGCCGTTCCTGACTCCGTGGAACCATCCACGGGGAATCCAGTAGAACCTTCCGTAGAACCATCCACAGAAGAGCCAGTAGAACCTTCCGTAGAACCATCCACAGAAGAGCCAGTAGAACCTGCCGTTCCTAACCCCGTAGAACCATCCACAGAAACGCCAGTAGAACCTACCGCCCCTGACTCCTTAGAACCGTCCACTGAAAAGCCAGAACCTTCCGTTCCCGACACGGTAGAACCTTCCACCGACTCTCCTGTCGAAGAAACGACTGGTTCGCCAGCGCCCGTGGACCCGTCAGCTGAGAACCAGGTAAATGGTACTCCATAACCAAGGTTTTCTTAACTCTCCTTCTGACGCTGTTCAGTTTTGGTCACCAAAGAGATTGTTATGGTATCAGTGTGTGTGTGTGTGTGTGTTTGTGTGTGATCATTTAAAATTATCTATCGCGTCTACAGCTAGGGTCATTAGTGGCGAATTCCTTGTGGGATTAAAATGTTAAAATATTTAAAACCTTTAAAAATCTATCAATAAGCTCAAAAATGAAAATGAAAAATAAATATCAAGGAATATCAAAAATCAAAACATTGATATTTTGCTTCAAAAGTATAAAATTGTTTCACGAATATCTTGCAGAATTAGATTTTGCTTAAGAAAATTTTCTCCATTAAATCCAAGCTCATTAATTTCTAAAGATCTCTATCCAGTCACCACCTTCTCAACCCTTCTCTTCATCACCACAGGCGTGTACAAGACAGTTCGTCCAGCACCCGAAGTACTGTAACGTGTACTTCCGGTGCGACGAGCCCATGACCCTGTACATGTGCCCCGCCGGAACCGCCTTCGACCAGAGCCGCCAGATGTGCCGCATTAGTGCCCACGGTGAGACCCCTCTTCCCTGTTTTTTGTTTTTTTCTCCCTCTTCTTCTTCTTCTTCTTCCTTTCTCTTTTCTTTTCTTTATTAATATTCATTTTTTTCTTTTCTCCATCCTTAAGATATTTCTTCTTTTTTTCGTAGATAGATGTTTATTTTCGTGTTCGTGTGGCATTTCAAAAAATAAAAGAGACTATTTCGTAGTTCAAGCAGTTGCTTCGTTAGTGTAGAAAAGTGTGATTCTCATTATTCTTGGCTTCCTATTGCAAACAAAACAACATGGAACTTTTAACTTAAAAGTAACTAAAAGAAAACAAACTAAAAGTCACCTAACCTAAACCTAGCGGGACAAACCGCCCTGAGATTGTGTAGGTTATGGAAGTTGGAGTCTAGGTCAGAGTCAGGCGCCTGAAACGGAGTCGGGGCTCGTTCAAATTACAGCATCTGCATAGCCTTCGTCTGATTCCTTTCACTCTTGGCTCCGTATGGCACAAAAAGATTGGCTGTAGGAAGGCGAGGTTAGATTTAAGGCTCATAAGCAGTCAATTTTTTGTGCAATATAAAGCCAAAAATTAACTGAATTAGACAGTATATTCATATATATGTATGTGTGTGTATGTGTTTATGTATAAATGCATACACACACACACACACACATATGTGTGTGTGTGTGTGTGTTTGCATGTATGTATGTGTATGTATATATATATACGTGTGGGGGGGTGTATCCATGCCTGTATCTATGTATACTGGTAAGTATACAGACATGGGTATAATCAGATCAATGAATACCATCTTAATAATGTAAAAGAAATGACGCGCATATTTATCCTCACACACATGTAACACACTTCTCTTTCCGCGACAGATGAAGGACTTTGTGCAGGCTTGGAGATCATGCACACCCTCCTGCGGACGGCCTTACATAACGGCCACTTCCTCCTCCTTCCTTCTCCCTTCCTGTTCTGAAACCACCGGCCCACAGCGAAGACGGGAAGAAGGAGGAGAGGAGACAGAGAAGACTCGAATAATTCTCTTCGTCCTGGGAGTGACGTGGCGGTCCGGTCACTCTAGAAATCTTTGTGTTTTGTGGTGAGAAAGACGTGGCACTTGTAGTAGTTATACATTGTATATGAAGGGATTAATGTTATAGCTAATGAAGGATGAGAAATGAAACCTTGCGAAATAATGAACATTCGTAATTGTTTTCGTTGGAAGAGTCGTGTCTTCTCTGCAATATCCAAGGTGCCATGTTATCTGGTAGTGGATTGTGTTCTTTTGAAAAGCAATCTCACATGGATAATGTTCTTGTTATAATGTTATATCTATTACTAAGGTGGTATAATGCAGCTGATTTTATTTATCTATTTATTTCTTATCGCAGTTCCCTTATTCCTCCTTACTATAATAAATAATTAACCAAGGGGACATTCAGCTGTTAAATACCCTAATTAATATATTTATCTAACATGTAATTTATATTTTTATGCAATTAAAACCTGTTTCTAACATGTAATTTATATTTCTATACAATCAAAACCTGTCTCTAGATAGGGATGAACAAAATGAACAATAAAAGGTGCAATAAAACTCACACTTTGTTTTACATCTTTCTTTAATGATATGTTAAGGCTTTCAGGTATGTTAAAAGGGACCAAATATCACCATTATGTGCAGTCATGAGGGTAATGGATATATATTGCTAATACTAAGGGCTTGTCAGAGACGCGTCATGAAGATGATCCAGTAGACTATGTTTTGCAGCTGCTAACAAAAAGCTACTTTATGATAGGTACTAACAATTTCCTCTTTTGGTTTTGCCTTTTTTATTATTATTGTTATCATTGTCATTATTTCTCTCTCTCTTCTTTTTTTTTATTACCATCAACCGATCAGAGAAGAACAAGTACAAAATTATGGCATTCTAACTAATAAGCATCATTATATATGAAAATAAAGACTATTATATTCCCACTAAGGTATTCCTTCTCTTCCAAAATTCCTTCACCGAAACTACTAAACAGCTGAAGTTTCTACGTGCTTCTGGCCTCGCTGTCACATCACAGTTCTCTTTTATCACCGGCATCTCTCTCTTCTGCCATCTCTTCATTTTTGTTCTTTTCTATTTTATTTTTGTATTCTTCTTCTCTTTCTTCCCTCTTCTTCTTTTCTTTGTTATCCCTCTCCTTACTTCGATGAGAAAAAGGATGTTTCTTTCCTTCTTTCTCAGGATTTCTTTCTTTCTTGGAAGCTCACTCTGTTGGTGGTAAGTGGAACCACATATGTTCTCCCCCCCGCACTCTCTCTTTCTCTCTTCTCACCCTCTCTCTCTCTCTCTCTCTCTCTCTCTCTCTCTCTCTCTCTCTCTCTCTCTCTCTCTCTCTCTCTCTCTCTCTCTCTCTCTCTCTCTCTCTCTCTCTCTCTCTCTGTCTCTCTCTCTCTCTGTCGGTCTGTCTGTCTGTGTATGTATGTGGGTGTTTGTGTGAGTGTCTACATTTACATCCTCTTCTGAAGACATTCAATTCAGTGATAGTCTATACCTTGTTGACACACATCTCAAACTCATGCCCTTCCCTGATCTCTACATGCCTTATTATACCATTCTTGACTCTTTTCAACAACTTAAAATACAGATTTCAAAATATATTCATATCAAGCAAATGCACACACTATATTTTTCGATCGCTAGGTAAAACCGTATTTGTTTTTTTTATTCTCGCTTACTTTCCATTTCTTTTCTTTTTCTAATATTTCATTTCCTTCTCCAATTCTTATAAAAAAGACACTCTTCTGCAACGTGCAAGAGCAACATGCATTCACCCTATAGTCTTCACGAGCCTCAGACTCTCGCCAAGCCTCTGAAATTTTCATCTTTCTCAGCATCATCATCTCGCAGCCTCTTTTTTGTCTTTTGGATCTCAGTGAACTTTTTAATCCACCTTTATAAGTTTTTATTCATGTTCTCATGTAGTTTTTTCTTATATTTTTCACTTTTTTCCTAATTATCCTGATGGTTCTTAAAATCACTTTTGCAAGGAGGTCTTTGTCTCTTCCTGGATTCTTAATGGATGCTGCTATCGTCCTGCGCTTTTGAAATCATCTTTTTCAGGCGATTCTCGTCATCTCCTTTTCGGTTCTCTCGAACTCACTTCCGCCAGATGTCTTTCACGAAGTCTCGCCTCGAATCTTTACCCTCCCCCCTTTTATCCCAAAATGAAACTCCTTTGCTAAAGAAATCTTATACAGCCGAAAGCTTTCCCCTGGATCCTACAAAATGCCTCATGAACCACTTGGCGCCCTTGTTGCGTGGTGCCGGGATGACCGTCATGACGCTGTCCTTGCTGGAGGCGGACGACGACGACGACGATGACGAGGAAGACTTGGATGACGTGGCTGTAAACGTCCTATTCTGGATGGACTTGTGAGGAGCAGCGGCCGGCAGTAACGCCTCCTTCTCCGTCCCGGGCTGGGCCTTGAGCCCTTGGCTCGCCTTCTTCAGGGGCGATCTGACGACCTTCGAGAAGTTAGGAAGGAAGGACCGCCGAGGAGAGGGAGTGGGTTTGGCAGCGGAGCCGGCGAGCGTCCTCTGCTCGTCCGCCGAAGGCCGAGGCTCCGAAGATGAGGTCCAAGGGGGAGCAGCGCTGCGCAGCTGGGTCGGGGACGTCGGCCGCGACCTGCTCGGAGAGGTGGTCGCTGATCCTATTGCAGGTTGAAGGTAAACACCTGGAAGAAAGGGAGAGGACGTTCATACATGTTGGAAATCTAAGGGAAGATTGTACGTGCTCTGAACAGGTTATAAGAGGCACTGCCACGCTGAGCCTGCGCTGTGATGGGCATCGGTAGACAGAATGTTTAAAGCGAAACTGAGCATCGATTCTTGAAAACTGGCTAAAGTGATTCCGATAAATCGATTCTTCGTAGATAGTTAAAGCGGTACCAATACATGCATCGCCGATACTTTATTGTTAGAAGATATCCCAACTGATATTTAAATAGATAAGGGAGGAAGAGAGAGAGGGGGGGGAGTTGGAGGGAGGGAGAGAGAGAGAAACAAACAGATTCGTGTATCAATTTTTTCGATACAATTTGAGATAAACACCCAGCAATACCAATAAAATAGCGATGCCGATGCTAATAGATCTCTGAGCATGCGGTATAGATGTGTGACTGACAACCTACAGAAACCCTCTTTCCTCCACAAAAATGCGAAGCGAACTCACTGTGGCGGGGAGTCCTCGGCGGCGTGACGTCGGGCAGGAGATGGGACCAGGGGTTGTACCCACCAGGGGCTACGTGGCTCAAGGAGGATGCGGAGCGGGGCATGGCCACAGGGAGCTGGCCGGGGGAGGAGGCCGCCGATGCCCCCTCGGAAGGGTGGAAGTACGTCCATACGCCAGAGTCCAGAGGAGGGCCTCTGCCTTTGCACGGGGGAGGGGGAGGGCAGGGGACAGGAGCGCGGGCGGGGTGGCACTGTGCCGGCAATCCCGGGGCCTGACGGGGCTTGTGGCAGTAAGTGAGTTCCGGCTCACTGTTGTAGTCTAGGGACGACATCTCAGAGGGAGCTTCGTGCCTCGGGGCGTCGGGGAGCTCGGGCTGGCTGGAGATCCAACCCAGGCGGCGGCTGCTCAGTCCGTACTCCTTGAGATTCTCGTGAATGTTTCCGAAGTGATCATAGATGTGGGACGTCATGAAGGCCGAGTATTGCCTGAAGGTCGCGTCTTCAAGGGACTTGGGACACCTCACCTGAGCGAGCAGGACTTCCGGGTCGTAGCAGAACCTCGCCGATGGGCAAGGATCGGAGTTCTTTGCCTGCCCCTTGCCGGTCCGCCCTTCGCGGTCAATTCTCTCCTTCGTGGCTTGATAATGATCCCAGTAAGTCTCCTTCAGGCTCACGCAGCTCTCGCTGTGAGCCAAGACTTCGGACGAGAGCAAGGACTCTGCAAGGTCCATCTCCATGTGCTCGGAGACGATCGAGGCCTGCGAGAGCCTCTTCTCCAGGAAGGACGACCCGCGCAGGCTTCTGACGGGGCCGCTGCCGTAGCCGTAAACGAGGGGCCGCTTCAACGTCTCCATGGGCTTCACGTCGCAGTCTGCCTCGATGAAGTCGTCTTCGTCATCGTCATAGCTGATCAATTTGTCTATTTTGCTGGACAGGCTGGTCTTCGAGTCAGGTGCGTCATCGATGTCTGACATGGTGCCCCT